TCAGAAGGAGACTCAAGACGTACAAGTTCATTTTGTGCTTTTGTTTTTGCACCAGAAGCGAGTCTGAAAATTCTAATTAATGAATTAAGTCACGCAGAAGCCCAATCATTTCAATAAAATATATTTTGCCAACTTCAAGCTTTGCGCACTCTTATCAATGGCAAACGTCTCTCTCTATGTATATTTTTTTATTGTACCTGCAAATCCATCCGAGGTGCCAACATGAAATGGTCTGTCAGATCCGTTATATTCTGGAGAGAAACTAAGATCTTCATTCCAAATCACTTCATAGTAAGTGCAAAAAAGCACGGGGCACTAAAACAGTTATTGATTCGGCCATCAAAAGTGTCTGCTTCTCAGAGCTCCGTTGATGCAGTTGTTGATGACAGACGCGTCGCCTGCGGGCTTTTTGCGCGCACTTCCACCGCATCAGAGCGGCGCGAACTCTCTCCAAACGGCCGCGCAATCACGCCTCCCACTCACCCTCACTCTATGAGAAGATGTGGAGGTCCAGGAAAAGCCTCTGCTCACTCCGCAAGTCGCATCGCCTCTCCTCTGACGCACAGGTTTGCGCGTTTGGCACCGGCAGATGCTGAAGAAAATAAAGCTGTGCCTGTCTCACGCGTCCTAAAGTCGTGGAACAGAAAAGAGTACACGGACTGATGGGGTAAATTACTGTAAGAGCAGGTAAAAGCGATTTCCTTTTCAGTTTACGCACGCCTCCATTCCTTCTGGTGGAAAACAACGGTCCCTGTGCCAGCACACACATGCACATCTGAAGGCAGCCGGCTGGAGAGAGAGATTTATATAGGACTGACTTCACCACGTGGTTGTGGTCATCACGGTGAGACCGGGAGATTCGTCAGCGCGCGGGTTTACCGAGCACTTCAGTGTAAATATCTCAGCGTGTCGTTTCGCTTCAGCACTGCGGCCAGGTCCTAACGCCCACGGACTGGGTCGGCTACTTTAGCTCTGGCACAACCAGACTTGGAGGCCTGGCCTTTCTAATTTGAACCTCCCCAATAGAAAGTCAAAGTAAACCACAAAATATAGCATGAAAAAGATTTCGAGAAGCCAAAGTAGCACAGGCTATTTCAGCTGCGTAAAAACGCTCATGTAACCATTAGTCCCAGGTAGCACATCAACAAAACATACTGTAAATATTTATTACTTTATTAAAGTGTTACATAGGTAATTAAAACATTTAGTGTTTTGTTTAAGTCTTTCAGATGATTGACATTGGGGATAAAGTGGAAATAATAGACAAAAATCATAAATTTTTTTTTAACTAACTGGGTCATTTGAAAGTTTGTGATTAAACTGTGATTTTTGTAATATTTTAAATATTGTGTAACCTATTTAATTGTTAATTCGTTACATTGCAACATCAATTAGCATTGATCCAATTAAGGATGCACTGTAAGCTAAATAATTGTTTTTAGTTAAGATAATTATGCCTTCAGAAGTTAGCCTACTAGTTTTAGTTTTAATTTGACATTTGACAAGTCTTGTGTGTTCAAGATTCTGCTTCTCAGAAAGAGTTTAAAGTTGTTATTTTTTACAAACATCCACTTATCAGTTGTTTACAGTACAAAATCATGGTAAATGTTGATTTTTTTTTTAAACAACAAAATGATCAATCATATTTCACTGTCTTCATGAAGGATATCCATCAACAGGCAAACAGCATTAAGGTTTCATGCATAAAATATTGACTTCATTAGTCCGCAGTGTGATGCAGTTTATATTTATAGCCTTTATAAATTCAATGAAATGAGACAGAGAAGCCTTAATATAAAACCACCCATCTAATCTGAACTGTTATCTTGCTTCATTATGTATAGTCCAAAAAATGTTTTGCAAATAATAGCTTATGTTATTACTACTGTTATGACACAGGCAACTGATAAGGAACGAGAAAGCAGGCCCAGCTGTTGCATCAGTGCATAAACATCTAGCTGATAACCCATTTTGGGAGGTTGGATCACAGGGCCGAGGCAGATTCTCTGTGTGGAACAAGTAACGGCAGGCTCCCTCAAAGCACCTGCTTGATTTACTCTCCCATCCCTTGAGCTTATGCTTAAAAAAAAAAAAAAAATCATCATTTGCCAAAGCCTTTTGTACCCGGCCCACACTCCAGTAATCCATCAGGAATGACAGGCCTTCAGAACCCCACCGACAGCCCTACCGACTGCTGTAAACCAGATGTTATCACTAAATCAGATACCAACAAAGACAGATGTAAGACCGAGGGAGAAAAAGGTTAAGGATGTTAAGGAATAAGCCAAATCATATTAAGTGTAGAAAATTGCCGAAAAACAATTCTTCTGCATGGTCCACCTGAAAGTTCTCACAATCACTTGCTTTGACTCAAGCAAGCTGATGAAATGAGGAAGAGGTTTTGTGATCCAGACAATTGGTGACTATGAAAAGATGAGTAAGGGAGCTTGACCCTTTCTAGGGCGCTCTGTCAACATGCGGGCATTCCTGAGTGGCAGGTCACAGTGTTGTCCGGACAAATGGGCCTTTTACGTTGGCCAGAATGAAGTGCTGTACCCTCTAGCGTACCCTGTCAGACACTGGGTAAATATATCTCAACTGGGTGTGTACACATAGCTGGACTGAGAGAGATAAAGAAAAGAAAGTCTAGAATCAGCACAACTGTCCTTCCGGCAAGGCTGCACCCTTAAAGTTCAAAGGTCAACTCCTGGCAATCCTCCAATCAGAGAGGCTAACTGCTAAAAGGGCCTGTTATATTACAACCTACAATCCTAATGAGCTGAAGATAATAGAATACACCATATGGCCCATATCATGATGGAAAGTGTGAATTCAGTAGGAGTTCAGATTGCATGTACAGAACAGGCTTCTCATAGAGGTCAGAGAGTCAAACCAGCGGATGAGCACTGAACTACTTTGACAGCAGCGCCTCCCTGTGGTCAACTAAAGCATCACTAAAGTCGATGGTGTCCAACCTTACTTCTGAAGGGCCACTATCCAGCACCAAACCTAATCAAACTCTTGAACCAGCTAATCAAGATCTTCAGGATCACTAGAAGCTTCTAGGCTGGTGTGTTGGGGAAAGTTGGAGCTGAATGTGCAGAACGTCGGCCCTCCATAAGCAGAATTAAACCCCCCGACTAAGGTCACAGTGATCCAAGAAGTATTTCGAGACTTTGTGAGATGTGTGACGAACTACATATTTCACACCTAATGTAACAATCAGATTAAAAGTACCTAAATCAGGATTCTTCTGCTCCTGGAGGTCCACTGTCCTGCAGAGCTTAGATCCAACCCTTATTAAACACACCTGGACCAAAGTAATCATTAGAAACTTCAGGTGCTTCTCAATACTCACATTGATGCTTCGTCGTTTCCTCCCTCCTCCAGCTCGTGATCCGGAAACTGATCGAACTTGAAGGACATCTCAATTCTCTAATTGCACCGCGAGGAGGTCAGGAATGAGGAGCGAGGAAGCTTCCTGAGGAGTCATGTGTGAGGATACACGGGTGTATCCTTCCTTTGCATCCTAAGGGGGTGGAGTTTACACACGAGGAGCGAGGGAGGTTTAGAAGCGAGGGAATGAAACGAGGACGCACAAATACGAAACGAGAAGCACCCTACCAGTCAGGTGAGTTGGAGCTAAACTCATTGGGCCTCCAAGTCCAGGATTGGACATCCGTTTAACGGTCTATGACCTTAACTTTGCCCAACAACACGGGGTGCTTTTCAATTCTCAAATTGATGCTTCCTTGATTACTTGCTCCTCCGTCCTCCAGCCTGTGACCAAGAAACCGATCAAAATTACCATTCTTGAAGGACATCTCGATTCTCTAATTGCACTGCAAAGAGTGAGGAAGCTTCCAAATGAGTTATGAGTGAAGATACACGGGTGTATCCAATGCAGAAGTCTGTGTCAAAAGAAAAACTGACGCATGTATAAATTCTCCTCTCCCTTCACATCTGTCACAATAATTTGAAATATTTTACCTCTTCGGTTTAAATAATACATCTCACATATTTCAAAAGGGCATCTTGCATTATTATTATGAATTTCTTAACTAACCAAACTTTTACAGATCCCTTAAGCGCAGCTGATGACGCTTTTAAGTGACGCTTGCATGATCAGGAATATTCCAATATACAAATAAGATTTCCTTCGATTCCTCATTTTCTTTTCTTGCACCCCACGGGGAGTGGAGACGAGACGGGAGAAAGCTATAGGAAATGAGGATGCACAAATAAGAAATGAAAAGCACCCATGGATTCTGTTAAGGGTTCAGCTCAGCATCATTTACATTACATTAATTCATTTAGCAGACGCTTTTATCCAAAGCGACTTACAAATGAGAACAATAGAAGCAGTTAAACTAACAGTAGGACAACAATATGCAAGTGCTAAGACCCCTCTCAGTTTCATCTAACGCAGTATATGAATGTTTTTATTTTTTTTGATAGAATAGAAGAGAAAGTGTTAGTGTTACTGGATCAAGTGCTGCCAAAAAAGATGCGTCTTCAGCCGTTTCTTGAAGGTGGCATCAAATTAAACTATACAGTACTTGTGCACTATTTCATCAAATGATAGAAGCTAGGCAAATAATGGACAAGTTGCATGACATATCGTCCTCAAACCAAGAACAAAACCACTCGGCGTTAAAGAAAATCCTCTGTTCACTAGCAGCAAGGATAAACGTTGTGCTGAACAACATGTTATGTGCAAGTGGATTCTTGCCTGTCGAAAGCATCACAATTTTACTTTACAACGCAGTATTACACATTTTGACCAAAACAAGGCAAAAAGAACATGACATTATAAACACTTAATAAAGTGATTTTTTTTCTTAATTCGCAATATTTGGATTGCTCTAATATTTTGTAACTAACAGCCATGATTCTCGTACTGCTCACTTTATCTGCAACATGACATACTGCACCAATATAAAAAAAAAAACAGAAATCATGACAGAAATTATTTATTAGCAAAACACTGATATAAATGACTATATACAGAAATTGAGTGCTGAAGTTTGGCTAAACCTGCAGCACTCACCAATGCACTCCAAAAAAAGACCCAGCTTTACCAGGAGATCAGGGCAACATCACAGATGAGTGTCTGTCCCTACTCCAGTCTCATTACTCCACCCTCTGAGAACTCTGGGTAATGTCGAGGCTTCTCTCTCTGTGCGCAGGGTCTGGAAATACACTCGTATGAAGCACTACACGATGCACATGGATCAGTCCGATTCACTGCTGTAGTCTTCAGAAGGCTCATGTCTGTCCTCTTCATCACTCTCTTTATCCCAGTCCTTCATGGATGCGCCCATCATGAAATCATCCTTTAACACGCTCCAGGACGGATTCTCCACCTTCACCTCTACAGGCCGCTATGATCAATCAACAGAACAAGTTAAAAGAATCAGTCTCATAAATCACACGCATGAATGAATTCAAAAAGGCCTGAAATGTAAACAGTGCCAGCAAGTGGACACAATGAGTGAGATTAAAGTCCCACTGTGGTGAAAATCAAGCTTATAATGTGGTGTTTTTAATATGCTTTAAGACAAACCATGTTCAAATTCATGTAAAACATTTTACATTTATCTTGAATTTACTTTTTATTTCAGTTTTGGTATTTTTAGTACTTCAGCTTAATCTTATTTCAGTTAAATGTCAAGACATAATATCTATTTTTTCACCTAATATATTTATATATATTAGGGGAGTAATGATACACGTATTCGTATTGAACCGTTCGGTTTCGGTTTTCAGTACGCATTTCTAAACCGAACGGTTCGTTGGACCATTTTTCCTGCCGACCAAAATTTCGTTATTTCAAATGTAGGCGCGTTGGGTGAGGCCCTTTGAAATGGTCCCTTTGAAATGGTCGAAAACTGGATTAATGACCCCACGCAGTGGCCAAATATGGACTATTCAGACATCTACCACTATCTCGTGGAATCACCAAGTAAGTAGCCTATTTTTTTTTGTCATTAACACTCACAGTAAGACAAACTAGACGATGAGGCCATGTGACTTGGATCATATTTAACTTGATTTAAGCTATTGACAGTTTTGTTGTCGACTAGCTATACTAGTTAGAAAGACGAAGCTGCTAGCAGCTAACGTTACGTGATTAGCTCTCACTAGGCACGCTACCTTGGCTGTTAACAGATTTTACTGTTGAAATAGTGGCAGGCTAGGACTCAAGTGGACTTGTGTCTAGAAAGTGCTTTAGGCCTATATGACTTTTCGACGAGCACTGCTCTGGGCTACATGTAACAACACGAACGGCAGTAGATCAAGCCTTCTAGGCTAGATAGGATAGCGTAATGTCACAACATCCAATTTGATAGCCCCATACATACATAGGTCCTATACATATTTTGCCGTACACTGTAAACCTTTTTACAACTTTCAAAGTCCTAGCACTTTCTAGACACAAGCAGAAACCAGCCAAGTCCACTTTAGTCCTAGCCTGCCACTATTTCAACAGTATAGTATAGCTAGTCGACAACAAAACTATGTCAATAGCTTAAATCAAGTTAAATATGACCAAGTGACATGGCCTCATCGTCTAGTTTGTCATACTGTGAGTGTTAATGACAAAAATAAAATAAAAAATAGGCTACTTACTTGGCGATTCCACGAGATAGTGGTAACGGTAGATGTCTGAATTGTCCATTTTTGGCCACTGCGTGGGGTCATTAATCCAGTTTTCGAACATTTCAAAGGGACACCTCTGTAACCCCGTATCCAGTAGCTTATTACCGCTCACGGTCCTCGGCCGGCAAAGAGAGTGTATGTTTGTGCCATTTTTGCTATCAAGAAACTTAGCAGATCTAGAGCGAGTTCTGTTCTCGGGGGGGATCCGTTTGTTTTCCCCCAAAAAGGGGCGTTACCCTTCGATGACTCAAAAGTAGCATTGGTCTATTGCCCAACATCATATGGCAAATGTAATGTAAGCGGAACGGAACTGAGCTACTCGTTATTGTGTGGTTGACGAACTGTTTATCAGTGTGGACCAATGCAGCGCGAGCCGATCTTCATCATCAGCACTGTTACTACACAGCCAAATCCAGTAAAGAAAGCATTCGCCACTGAAGTAATAACATCGCTGCGAGATCTAGTGAGAAACATTCACATTTCTCCGCTATTAACGGATCAAACAGCGCTGACGTGGAAACCAGGAAGAAACATTGTGCCATGAATGAACTATCCAGTGTCCACAGATCAGCAACATTCACCATGGGTTTACTGTAGTAACACTACTGACTGTAACCATGGGAGTTTGGCAGGAATAGTAGGCTATAATGCTTTCAAGTAACATCATGTCGGTTTTATTTTGACATTATGAATACAATTACTGCCCTCAAATGTTAATCTGAACTAAAATAAACCTTTGTTTATAACTACTACAATCTTACATTTCATTTTGTCCAAGGAGCTGTTTTGTTTTATAAGCTCCTAAGAAAAGTCAAGTATAGCTCCATCATTGCTCAAAGTTAAAAAATATCATACTTTATGATGTTAGTTTTAATAAAAATGTAATTAAAAAAATTAAATCAAGGAAATTTCTCTGGCATTTCTTTCTTTTTGCTGTATCGAAAACGTGTATCGTATCGAACTGAACCGTGAATTTTGTGAACCGTTGCACCCCTAATATATCTATATTTATTCATTAAATTGATTTTGTTTTAGTTTACAATAACAACACTGGTAAATAGAGTACATTTTGACCTCATGTTAACTTGAAGCAAGGAAAAAGTGCCATGTGAAAAGGAAGAGGAAAGAGAGAGAGCAAGTGTATGGGGAAAGTAAAGTAATCTCACCACTTTCTCCTTCTTCGTGGTCGATGCGTGAGCCACATCTGCTCCCCGAAGTACATCAATGAAGTCCTTCTTAGACACGGTGGACAGAACTTTGGACTTCTTTCTCTCTGAACCCCCAACTTCCTTCATCTTTTCATCCACATTCTTCTGATGTTTCTTCAGCGCATTGAACAGCTGCACCACACCTCTAAAGGCATCACACAAAGAAACAATGAACTACATTAAACTGAAAATAGCACAAGAGGTCATAAATTGCTTGGCTAATCACAATAGTGTTAGTAAAAGAGAAGTGAATGAGGTTTCACCTGGTAGCAACTCTTTGTAGGTTCCTCTCATGCTCTCGGTCTCGAACCACATCAGGCTTCTCTCGGCACATATTCTCCCATGTTCGTTTCTTATCAATCTGTGCATTATACATGTATAAAAAATATGTTCTGGTGTGATGTGCCTTTTAACACCTCTCCAATGCAATGCAATACAATGAAGAAAACGGGTGTTTTTCAGCCTTTTTAAATCTTACTTCAAATGTTTAGAAGTTCATACTGAGCATAAAACTATCCAGCCATTATTCACAATTGAACATGTAGAACATCATTAAGCAACATCTACATTTCCTCAAAGATAAACAATTGAAATTGTTTATTTACGTGCTGATTCTTAAAAGTGACAGTAGCTAAAGTGTTTTTAGTACCATAGTGATTAACAGTTTTGTACACTTAGTTCCCTTGACTGTGTTAAAGGGTTAGTTCACCCAAAAATGAAAATGGTCATTACTCACCCTCAAGTTGTTCCAAACCTGTATGAGTTTCTTTCTTCTGTTGAACACAAAAGATATTTTGAAGAATGTTGGTAGTCTCAGAATTGACGGTAGCCCTTGATTTCCATAGTAGGAACAAAATACTATGGAAGTCAAAGGGTGTCGTCAACTGTATGATTACCAACATTCTTTAAAACATCTTGTGTTCAACAGAAGAAAAACTCATACATGCTTGGAACAAAATGAGGGTGAGTAAATCATGACAAAATTTTCATTTTTGGGTGAACTATCCCTTTAAGGATTTGGCTAAATGTAATAATTCTTTACCAAAAATAAGCAGATAAAAATGCTTTGCAATGTCACGGTTCATTCCAGCCCTTGATAGCTTAATATTAAATTTAAAAAGATTGCTGTTCACTAGGGGTGACCCCGAATAGTCGAAGATTCGATGCTTCGATAGGAGGAGCCTGATTCGACTACCAATCTCACGGTCGAATCTTCGCAGATGTGTTATTAAACGAGGATTATGTCATTTTGGCTATATGAGTGTGCTCAATGTCTGATTTCACATAGAACTACTGGTTTTCTGTCAATATGTTAATATACAGCCTATTATGATAATGCTGTCGATAAAAATGTGCAAAGAAAGAAGCTTTTAATAAATATTTTAACGTGCGCGCAGGGTGAATAAATCCAAACACCCCGTGACAGATTTAAGTTTCACTTTCGATCCGTGACCGACAGAGGAGCGTCTTGTCGGCAGGGATTTAAATCTTTAAAAATGTCTGGGATAAGACAATCTAAAGATGCACACCATCAGAAAGGATATTCTCCAAGGCTGGATTTAGCATCAGGAAAGCACTTCTGCCGGCCAACGTTAACAGGCTGGTTTTCCTCGGGACGTTCTAAAACGCTTAACGTGAAAAAAGCTTTTAAAACGCTTAAATGGCACTTTTACGTGCTTAATGTATGTACACAGTAGGCTACACACCTTAAGAAACCATTCTATGTGCAGATAAGCAGATGAACCCAGAATATGAACGCAACGCGTTTCTCCTATTGAAAGTCACGTAAAGCTTTTTCTTTAACGGTTTTCTATGGGAGGAAAATGCTTAACGTAGCCTAAGTTATAATAAAACGCGTTGCGTTCATATTCTGGGCTCATCTGCTTTTCTGTAGGCTATATAGTATGCTTTATTAATATAAGGTGTGTACAGAATTTGATCTTTTAATATAACAGTTTTAGGACAAAGCCGTTAAGCGTTTTTCACGTTAAGCGTTTTAGAATGTATTTTATCCGCGCACACAATTTGAAAAGACTCAAACGGACACAGGCCGAGTGAAAGACTGGATTTAGTTTTTTCGATCAGGTATGAATAAGTGATTTCAAAACATTTCAGCCGGTTCTAATTTGATTTTTGGATACTGTGAACACGTTTAGCTAAAAAGACTGCCGCTCCAGTTTAGCGTTTATTGTTGTTTCTGCAGTTAAAAAGACAAAGTTGACCATCCTGGCCATACTTTCGTTATTTTAATAATTTCTTTATTTTTATTTTATTAATTGATCACTCAGGGTGATCTAATTTAACTATTTGTGACTTGTTTTGAATTTTGTTCCCCTGCACTTTAGGCATTTTGCACACATTTGTTCTGCTTCTTGTGATTTGATTCTGACTTATTTCGTTTTGTATTTTTATTTATTATAAAAGTATATTATGTTCTTAATTGTTGATTATTTTTCAGTGCATCGATGTTGCGCTGTAGGCCTACATAGAGCATGCTCGTACAGGCAATTCAGCCGATTTAATTTGATTTGCATGTGAAATGCAAATCCTATCTGCAGTGTGGCCTTTCTGCAGTTATTTATGTTATTTCTTAGTTTTATTGATCCAAAATGTTTTTATACATTTTCTTCTTTATCTTTGTGTGATGTTCTGTACATCGCGGCTTTAAAATGTTAAAGCCCCGCCCCCGCCCACACATGATTCGACTATTAGTCGACTATAGGCAGGACCTGACGAATCTGATTCGACTATGAAAATCCTTAGTCGGGGACACCCCTACTGTTCACTAAGGGTGCCCCGATTGATCGGTCGCCGATCATAATCGGCCGATAATTGCTTTGGGATGTGTGATCGGCGGTCTCTATAAAGGCCGATCCAGAAGAGCCGATCAGATGACGCAAAACTCGCGAGCCAATTTTTTTACGCCCTGGTAAAAATGGCTTCACCGGTCTGGCAATTCTACAAGAGGGCTCTCAAGTGTCAAGCATCTCCCACCACACATTGTATTTCTCACGCTGAAAAACTATTTGTAATATATTTAATATGCCGCAGCGGCCAAAACTCTGGCCGCGCCGCTCTCACTGTGGAACCGGCATGAATCAAGCGCGTTTCCTCTGGTGTTGTTCGTCGAGCTACACAATAGCAAATCAGAAAATAGCACTATTGTATCTGGGTAAGATTTAACGCAACAACCAATGACAAAAATGTAAAAAGCGCGCGTCCGAGTGAAGCCTGCGCGAGGCACAGAGCACTGTATCCAGGACACTGATCGCCGCGGCAACGAGCGTGCAGCTTGAGTTCAAAAACACATTTTAGCGCTAGATTTCTTATTTAATAGCGAACTAAATGAATGATCTGCTAGTTAACTGAAGATGTTTTATTTATTTATATTAGGTACATGCAGGCGGCTCCCTGATGCCCACAAATTAGTTAAAATCTCCCGGAATCTAGAGCGAGCAAGAGCGCGCATGCGTAGCGCGCGCACGGCAGAGAGAGGGAGCGAGCTAGAGACCTTGCGTGTGTGTGCTAGTGTGTGTGTGTGCCTCACGAAGCGCATACAAGGTCCCAACCAGTGCGGGCTGGCTTTTATCTTTACTACTCCCGAACCGAATTAATCAGAAATTAATTTGCAAGTTACTTGCTAGGGATGATGTTAGGAAGTGATATTCAGCTTGCTACATTTTTAATGATTACAGTAGTTAAAACAGCTAAACTTCATCATTTTAGCTGTAAAATGCAACATGCAGTAGCTAATATTAAGAAATATGTTGTGCTTTTACTTTTAAAAATGTTGGTAATGTTACAGTTAATGCTTACAAACTTTGAAGATTTTTAATACAGAAGTTACATTTGTAATGGTGTAGGGCCTAGCCTATTTTCATTTAGATGTGGTATTATTATTTGTGCAGTAGCTAAGATTAATTACTGCATACATTAATTAAGATTATTAAGTAATAAAATCATTTTAAGACAGCATGGAATAGATTGTATAATATGCTGTTAGCTATAATTTGGATGGTAGTATCATGAGCCACAATTGAAGTCATGTGACACTCATGCCAGGCGGCAGGCGTTATTGTTGTGGAGTTTCCGCGCGCCGATTTCTTTGGGCCGGGCCTAGTCAAAGTCCAGGGCCGTTTTTTAGTCTCAGTCCGTCCCTGGGTACATGGTGGGACAGACTTCACTGGATCTAAAAAAAAATCAATCTAACCATAGATGTGACCAGTAGTGGTGGCTTTCTTAATCTGTTTAAAATAATTTTGCAAGGGTTCTTCACACCCACACACACCCACACACAAAAGGTTTCTCTACCTCTCTCTTCCTCTCTAAATGCCCACAAAATCTGACTAAGCATCCTAGAAAAAAGCAAAGTTATAGATACAGATATGGAAGTTGTTAGTTTTTTTCTGGTTTTGTTTTTTTGTTGCTGTGCACTTTACTACCTGTGGTCCTTTAAGTGTATTAGAAAAACTGATGGCTGACTGACTCAAAACATTATTTTGGCTATAGCCTTTTTTGTTGCTCTTTTTAGTTTAAAGTAGTCTAAAGCTAAATTTAAAGACTCAGATGTTCTGTCTTTTATTAATTTTATTTTATATTCTACAGGAAAGTTGTATGTCAAGCCCTAAGCTGCTCCCAATAACCAAGCTGCTATGTTAATACATGTTGCTTGCAAATAAATACACAGGTGTCAATTCATTATGCATGGTCTTCTCTTAAATGTAATACTTAATGTACATTGTTGTTAAATATAGTTTAATAAGTAATGCTACATGATAAAAAGAAGTCTTCAAATAGACCCTGTAATCGGTGATCGGTATCGGGTGATACAGCTTCCAGTAATCGGCCCCAAAAATCCTGATCGGAGCACCCCTACTGTTCACAATTTTTTAAAATTCATGTGAGATTTGGAAAAGTCCAGCTTTGCCAAAGGTCAAATTATACCCAATGTTAAGTTCACCTGTTTCTTTTTTTCAAGACGCTCTTTCTTCTCCTTCTCCTTGATCTTGTCCAGCTCCTTGTTCTTCAGGAGGATGCTGGGTTTGCTGTCTGGCGTTTTTTTCCCCAGGATTTTGGCCATGGCTTCGGCCCATCCAGCGTTGGGATTTTCCTCAGCATCTCCATTCTGTTCTTCTTCACTCTTCCCATCCTGATCACCGCTGTCTTCTACATCACTTCCCCCATCGGATCCCTCCTGATCACTTCTTGGTCCACTCTCTCCATCATTACTGATGCTGTCATCAGAAACTCCATACTCTTCCTCTGAACATCCAGATCACAGAAAAAAAATAATTCATACATAGTTATGGCATCGCAGTTTATGTTCAAGCAGTTTCTGCTTAATTTTAAAATGTACCAAATGTTAGACACAAGCAGTGAAATGTTAATCACAAATGACTGAATCTTCAGAATCTCTTGATCAAAAGGCTTGAAATGTGTTATATAATTCAAATATATGAATTGCATATTTAAACAGCATCTCAGGATGCACCCCATTAAGTTAGTTGAGTTAACTTAATTTGCACTCACATGTATTTACGTAAAGTTAGAATGACACTAAACTGTGTAATTCTAGCCAGTTGAAATTTAAACCATTGAGATAAAAACACTTTTTTAGCAAAGATCAGCTGTCCAACGAGTCACAAAATATTGCAAAGAGGATGATTGTATATTCTAAATACTGTACAATCTACTGTAAACGAGTTTGAATCACTCCTTGTGTGGAAGGTAGTTAAACACAGTTTGAGTCATTAACGATTCATAATACGTAACCTAGAAAAAGGACATACTATGTGTGTTACATTATAATTTGACTGTAAAAGTACAATTGCTCACCATTTCCATCTTCAACAACGACATGTGGCTTCTTCACGAGCGTCGCCATCTTTACTGATATTTACGAGTACTCTCTAAACAGTCCGTGTGAAACAAGAGGCGCTCAGGAAAGGTTCCGCCTCTATTTAGTTTCGACGTTTTCTTCGTGTACGTTATCCCTGTCACGATCATTGCAAAACATGACAGAACATCACAAACCCCCAATAAAAACAAAAACAAAGGCGACGTTGCAAGGAAAAACTCCGTAAGATAGTTAGATAAAATTAAGACTCCTGAGAGGAACCAGGAATCAAGGAAGCCCATACACAAACATTCATCACGTGAACACCAGCAACTTTATTTCATGGGGAATTTCCATAGACATATTAATTACTGTACAAACTGTATATTCTACCACCTTACACTACCCCTAAACCTACCCATCTGCATTTTTACATAAAAACAAAACAAAAACAAAACATCAATTCATTAGCTGCCTGTCTTCCTCATGGGGACCAAACAAATTTCCACAAGGACAAGGATTTTGGTTATTGGTATCTTTTTGTCCCCAAAATGTAGGGTTTACTAGGCCACACACACACACACACACACACACACACACACACACACACACACACACACACACACACACACACACACACACACACACACACACACACACACACACACACACACACACACACACACACACACACACACACACTTGTTTTATGTTTTATTACTCTACCCTTTACAAAAAGCTATCTGCAATTTTACATATTCAAAATTATAATAATAAATTAGAATGAAGAATGATAGCTGTTTTTTTGTGTGTTTTTTTTCATTGGGACCTAAAAAAATGCCCCCACAAGGTAAAAAATGACTGGTATTACCACACACACACACACACACACACACACACACACACACATACATACAGAGCTGTCAGCAAAGGAGCTGCTGTCTCAGCTGCACTGAAGGAAAGGAGAGAGCAGGGGCGAGTGATATCTACACACTCAAGCGGAAGGACTTTAACTGTTTGCCCGGATCACCATGGTGCCACCACAGCAGAGTAAGACAAAACCCGATTAACATTTAACAATGGTGGAAAATAGTTATAAAACTTGGAGGTCAGAGCTGTTATTGCTTTATGGCAGGTTGGATAGATGACATATTATAATATCTATATCTGCAGTGTTGTTTTTCCTTACCATTGTTCAATTCTGAAATAGATATTTGGGTATAGTTACCATGGAATACTTTTAGAAAGCTGAAATGTCCTCTGGTGTAATATGCTAAATTCTATCTAAAACTTGTTTTGTGTACCATCTTGTTAATTCTTAGATATTTATTATACATGTATTTAATATAAAACTGCATTTTAATTAAGAATACATGGACTAATATCTAAATATTGACAAAAATCATAAAAAAAAGTGTTAATGGACATTTTACAGTATGTGTCACATACCCTTCTAAAAAAACTAGGTGCAAAAGTTTTTTAAAAAATGTGCAATTCTGATTTGCAAACATTTAATCTAAACTGACAATCACTGACAATGACTTGACAATTCTGTATAATGAATGTCACATAATTAAAGTGTGAATAAAGTGTATTTAGAGTGCAGTGGGCAGCAGATGGTTAGAAAAGTATAGAAGGAGATATTGTTACTTCAATATTAAGGAAAACAGTTTTGTTGACTGAAGTTAAAACCTATGTTGTCACATTCATATTAAACTACAACCTGCATGTTGACACAATACACACACACACACACACACACACACACACACACACACACACACACACACACACACACACACACACACACACACACACACACACACACACACACACACACACACACACACACACACCATCATGTTCTATGGCACCTGGTTAAACTGGCTCGACATGTTTCAGTTAACACTTTTCCTCTGGATAATATACTAAAATTTTTTTACTTTTGAACTGAGTTGAAGTGTGAAGTCTTTACTAACATTCCATTTAGCTGATACAATTAAATTTAATACAAAAACTTAGTCACCATGAAATGATAATTCACCCTTTCTATTTGATAGATGCATGCATGCTATTGATTTTTTTGTAAAGTATTCATCTGTAGGTAAATGGGTTAAATTTTACTATTTTTGACCTCATAATTCTTAATCTAAGGCTATGTTTACACGGAAACGCAAAAGTGGCGTTGCGTTATCAATTCTGCGTTTAGACGAGCGTTATGGTTGGGAAATCCGCGTGCATATGGTGACGCAAAAGTGTGTGAAATTCGATGTAGTGTGCACTCCAGGCGGCTAGGTGGCAATGTGAAGCACTGCCACACAACAACACCAATATCTTAGAATATTTTGTACAACTGCTGAAAAGACTCTTGGATGTTTTTCAGAGCTGCTAGGGCAACTTGAAGGTCCGACGTATGGACATAATCTGACATGTTGGTTGTTATTTTCCTGTACTGGCGCATGCATGTGACGTAAACGCGTACGCGACGAGAGCCACCGTGAGCAGATTTGCGTTTTTACCGTTTAGACGGGAACGCGACGGTGGAGTGTTTTTAAGATTTCCACTCTGGAGGGTGGTTTCACTTTTTTTGCGTTTTTAAGCCCCCAAAACGCCGTTGCCGTGTAAACGAAAGGCACATCCGATAAAATATTTTTACGTTTTCACCAGGAATCGTTCTCGTGTAAACGGGGCCTAAATGTCATAACTGGATCTTCCAATGAAATATCACACTTCTCTCTGGTGATGTATGCAGGACTTCTCCAATCATTAAGTCGGTTTAAACCCCGCCCCTTTCTTCAATCAACTGGAAGCTTGCAATCAGATCTGCCTCCAGCCAATCAACAACCGATGGATATAACCAAGCAACGCTAGCATTTTCTTTTGTACAATAAGTTCAATCAATCACAAACTCGGATGTACGTCACAGTATGGTATGGAAGAAAATATCTGTCGCTACTTCAGTTTCATTGTGACTTTAAAGTGTAACTTTTGGCGCTCTAGCAGTTAATAAACAGAACTGCATGCGTCTTGCGGAAGAATATTGTAGCCGGAGCTCTTTCTCTCTGTTTATGTCTATTACGAGTCACACAGGTACTGGGTTACTCCACAGCGGTACGACCCAAACCAGTCTAAAATTGTCAGAATATAAATATAATAGGTGTACGTAGTGATTCAGGATAAGACAAAACAATGGATTCATGATGTACTCGCTTATTATATAAGTTTAGTAAATTCTGAACACAATTTTTTTACAGAATGCAGCTTTACGGGGCGGAACCAAGTTTTAAAAAAAGGGACAAAAAGCAGAGCAATTTGCTCTGTGGTCACTCAAAAAATGGTGTGATTATTCCATTTAGTGACACTAGTGGCAATTACACCCTTTAGCTTTTTGGTAAAAAAGTCAATATTAATGTTTTGATGTTGATAACTTGTAACAGCTGGTTCTTGACTTTTTTCCAGAGACCAAGAGCCCAGTAATGGAGTACGCCATTGGCTTTGTGCTTGGATCAGTGGCTGGAAGTACGCTGGGAGCCATGGAGGTGCCAGTGAATCAGATTATGACAGGGATCATCTCAGGAACCCATCTGAAACCCGTCGTATCTGGCATTAAGAGTGTTGGGGCTCTAGGACTGGGCTCGCTTCTAGGAACTACTGCGCTCATCACATCAATGACAGCGGTGGCGACGGGGGTCGTCGGAGCCGCTTCTGTGGCCTTGTTTCTTTTAAGAGTGAGGAAGAGTGAGGGATGGGCATCCGCAGGACTGGCCGCGGGCATCGCCACTACCTCAAGCGGTGCAGCGCTAGGGGCCGTCACTGAAAAACTGAGCATGAGCTACGGGATGGTCAGCCTGCTTTGGGCATTGGGTATTTTCACAGCCTTAAAACTATTAATCTACATCTTTGTGAAGTTCACATGCACGGAATGGGAATTCTGTGGAATTTTTACTGAACTTAACAAGAAAGACCAAGAGAAACTATTTGCTATGGAAGTAGATCTAAGACAGCGGGTAGCGATGGAAATGGAGCAGCGGATTATTGCCTGCAAGATGGAGGAACTGAAAGAGGAAGATCTAGAGGCTTGGAAGGCCCAGCAAAGAGAAAGAGAAGAAATGAAGAGACAGCAAAGGAAGGGCGTTGAACTGGAAATGCGCCAGAGGACTTCTCGACAACGGCTGCTCAAAGCGGTGGACAAATACATGGAGTTTCTTGCATTATCTGGCATTCCCATGACCGTGACTGCATTTGTGACCACTGGTTTTGGCATCTTTGGGTTTGGAGATTACAGATTTGTTTTTGTTATCCTGTTAGTGTTGGTGTTGAGCATGTCGTTTTGGCTCATGAGGTCACGGCGTTTGAGCTTTTGGATGTTTACGGGATGCATGGCAATGTTTGCCACATTTGCCATTGCTGTGCTGACTGTTCATGCCGGACAGGAGGTGGCAGGCATGTCTGTGAAAATGCGTAGGGCAGGACTAAACATAAGCAAGGAGAATGTTAGCATCCGGATGACACACACATCCTCCGTGCAGGCGATTTCTGCAGGATTCTTCGTGTCAGAAGTGTGCCAGGTTGGTTTAGGTGCAACAGTCGGCGGTGCGATGGCACGAGAGGCTGGAGGAAAGGTGGTAGTGTGGGCGTCTGGGATTGCAGTGGTTGTTTTGACGATAGTGGAAGCGTTGGCGCTGATGCTGGGAGTCGGTGGTACGGCGGGGGCTTTGTGCGGGGCGGCTGGAGCGGCTGGGGTGTCCATGGGAGGAGCTGCAGCTTTAGCTGTGAAATCATCCTCATGGGGAGGAACAATAGCAACCACTGCTGGGATGATCTTTGGCCTTTTGGTGTTTGGAAAGTGGGACATTGTTAAAATAGGGCTTCAGGTATGTGTGGCATACATTTTTGCCATGACAAATCTTTATTGAAATGCCATGATGTTCTTTTTTTACTAATGGAATGGCAAGAATCAGCCTCTATGAACTATATAACAGTGGATGCAGTGCCTCATATGATATACATTTTTTCATGTTGTGGTACAAATATATTTTTGCTTTGAGATCATGATTTTTATAAAGTAAATAACTTTGATATTGTTAGTAATATTTCAAGATGAACATTCACTGTACTAGCAACGTTTACTTGATTATCCATACATCATGTTCAGAAAAATCCTGTTAAAATGTGTGTATGTGTCACGATGTGGGTTTGTCTTGTCATGTTTAGTGGTTCCCTGTCTGTCTATTAGTCTTCACAGGTGTTTCCCGTTAACCACGCCCCCTTGTTATCCTATCTAGATCGTTTGCCCCTGTATTTAAGCCCTGTGTTTCAGTCCAGTCTTTGTGAGTTCTTGTTTGATTGTTATGTTGATGTAGGTTGTTCTGTTCCCAAGTCGTGTTCCCTTGCCTGAGGCTACGGTCACACTGCAGGCTGAAATGACCCAATTCCGTTTTTTTTTTTGCCCCTATGCGACCTGTATCTGATCTTTTCTTGACAGTCTGAGGCCTCGTTTACACTGTCAGTGAAATGTGACCCAATTCCGATTTTTTTACTCGTATGCGACACAGATCGGATGTGTTCTATGACAGTGTAAACAGGAAAAAACGGATATTTCGAGATCGGTTTCAGGCCTCGTTCATATGTGGAAATAAATCGGATGTAAATCGGATATGTGCCAATGCGACTGTCATGTAAACAGGCAGATCGGATTTTCCGAGGCATTAGGCTGCGTCTCCGCGGTTTAATGACGAGAGAAACCCTGACGCGCATCTGCGGATGGACGGAAACATTGTGTCGTCGTAGGAGAGGAATGTGGACACACGTTGACACAACATATCAAAGGTTGGCTTGCTCATTCTAAAATTTCGGACCCACTGCTCCTCGTTTAAGCCCACCACAATCTCATGAAAGTGCGTTATTGCACGATTTTTTTTTCACGTGGCATTTACGCCAAAAATAGTTTTTACGTGCATGATACGCACTTTATGGCGTTTAATACGCACGTTTACAGTGCGTATCATATGCAAGCAAAAACTATTTTTGCCGTATAAATGGCATGAGAAATAAAATTTGTGCTATAGATACTCACTTTTATGAGATCGTGTTGTATGTTCCCACCTGTCCTGAGATCTCGCTGCGTGTTCGTCCATCTGTGCAAGAAGATCCCTTTAAACATGCGCGATGTTTCAGTCAAGTGTAAACACATGACTCGGATATGGGTCACAATTTAAAGAACGTGTAAACGGACGGTAAAAAAAAATCGGATATAGGCAACAAATCAGAATTGGGCATCAAGACCTGCAGTGTAAACGAGGCCCGACACAGATCCGATCTTTTCAAATGCGACTTTAATCTGAACGGCCAGGTCACATGTATCCGACCCGCACGTCATTGATATGCGACAAACGTCATAATTCTGCGTTGAAGTAGGTGGGAATTGACCGTTGAGTACTCTTCTGCGCATGCGGGTCACTTCTGGGTCATTTCACGTTCATACAGGAGATCACAAAAGGTCGCATTTAATTGGAAATGTGAACGGCCTTGCAAAAAAAATCTAATTTTTTTAAAAAATCGGAATTGAGCATTAAGCCCCTGCAGTGTGAACGCAGCCTTTGTGTAGTTTGAGTGTATTTAAATAAACGTGCTGCATTTGGATCCTGCTTCCTCCTTGCTTCAACCACCTTCGTAACAGTATGCGATATTTCATCTCTCAATCAACATTGTATTGCATTATATGTTTTAAAACTACAGTTTTCATCATAAAACTATAAGCATTGAAATATCATTAACTAAGACATAATATTGGCAGATATAGAGTGACAACTGATATTCATATGTATTTTATGTAAGTAGTCGCTATACTGTTATAAAGATCTTTACATTACAAGCATCAGAATTTCATCTTACTTTTTGGTCATATAAATACCAGCAACTGCACCAAATTGCTATTTTTTGGCTTCTTCGATAAAGCTTTTTGAACTCTATATTCTCTTTTTATTATACTATATGTGCATAAATTCAACATTTTTTTTTAAAGATTTTGTCTGAAGGCCCAATAAACTATTCCAACATATTATATATTGGAATTACTTCATATGTCAGGCTTTACCTGGTTTAAAAACAAGACCTATTTCCCTGATAGGCAAAGATGTTTTACATATTAAGACTTTTCAGTGAATATATATCGAACAGTACTGTAGTTTCACCTGTTAAAAAAAGGTAACACTTTACTTGAAGGGGTGTGCATAAGACTAACATGACACATGTTATGAATATGAAGGAAGTTTTATGCATGTTTATGACAACTGTCATTAAGTGTCATTCGCTCAATTATGACATTTTAAAGGCAAAATATGACATTGTTTGAGATGTCTTTGTTATGACACCTTGAAATAAACCAATACATCATAACCTGTCAGTGTCTTTGTCATGACAACTTGACATTACTAAGACAACACAACCTGTCATAAACATGACATAGCAGATTAATTATCAAACTTAAGAAACCACTTAGCCTTATTGGTTAACATTACATTAAACTGTCAGGTGGTTGGTTTTGACATTGGCTGTCATGAAGCCATTATAACTGTTTAATGACAAATTCAATTTGTACCACTGTAGTTGAGGTCACGAAAAATATTCATGACACAGTTATAATGGCCTTATGACAGCCAATGTCAAAACCAACCACATGACAGTTTAACTTAATTTAATGTCAAGTTGTCATGACAAAGACATTGACAGGTTATGATGTTATGGTTTATGTCAAGGTGTCATAACAAAGACATCTTAAACAATGTCATATTTGCATTCAAAATGTCATTATTGAGCGAAAGACACTTAATGACAGTTGTCATAAACATGCATAAACCCTACTTCATATTCATGACATATGTCATGTCATGGTTATGAAGGTGTCATGTCAGTCTTATGTACACCCCTTCAAGTAAAGTGTTACCAAAAAAAAACATAAAACAATAAAAGGTAACAACTACACCTAACAAAATTAACTATATTAAAATTGAACAATAATGTAGTATGTAATGTAGTTTTTAACTGGTTTTAATGATTTAGCCCAGTTCATAAAAGGCTATTTACTTACCACACGAGTGCCTTGGAGTATTTCTTCTACATAATAATGTAGTATGGTGACAAGTGTCAAATATTAAAATGTCAGAATCTAGTGATATAGCCAGTGATAAAGTCTCCGAATGCAGTAATTTGTTCATTATTGATTTTTGGCTGGAGAACAAGTGAAAAACATGCACCGCGGGAACAACCTAAGCCCTTTTTTAAAGAATTTTTCACATTACTTCATACTCTTCTTTTGATATCAAGTCAAGTCAAGTCACCTTCATTTATATAGCGCTTTTAACAATATATCACATAAACAGTAACTGTAATTTTGACCTTCTGTCTCCAACCTTTCAGGTAATATAAGGTAATGATGGCTAACACATGTCAATCAATCCACTTATTGGATTATTACCCCAGTCTTCACAAGTTGAGTAGTAAACCAGAAATTAGATCTATTTTCTTTCAAGATGTGACACATTTTGAACAAAAATGACCACTAGAGGGTGGAAAACACTGTCTGTCTTCTTCCATCCACAGCAGAGTAGATCAGTCAGCATGTCATAACCACATCATCAATATAAGTGTGACCTGGGTGTGGGTTACACTTTGTTATGTTGTATTTTTATTATTTTTTTATATGTTGAACTGACTACTAAATAAAACAATTGTCCACAAAAAAATATGAGTGTGACCTTATACTCTCGGATACAGTAGAAATGTACAGCTTGACATAAATTCTCGGTAGTTTATCACAATGGGCCACATTCATGACACTTACATAAATATATAAATAAATTAAGACAGAGAAATTTGCACTTATTATGTGCCTTTCCGATACACAAACACTTCGTAAACCTCAGATTTGATTAGTTAACTTAAATGTGTGCATGTTAAAGTCTTTTGACGTATATCCGAGTCAAATGGCATTTGGAACAAGACAAATTGTACTGCGGGGCTTGATTTTGTCTATGTGGAATTAATTGAATGGTCGCGGTTTGTTATTGGTGGATCTCATGTGAGTGACAGGTTGCTCCGCCCTCATCATCAGAGAAGAGAAGAAATGCTACAAGAGGGAGGGGAACTTATTCTGATGAAAGATTACAAGAGCAGATGCATTTTAAAAATATAATATTGTGCACGGATAAATCATTTATAATAAACACTATATTCCCTAAAAATTTAGACTTAATAGATATTAAGCACGCATCAATGAGGAGAACATCATTCACAATTCGCATAAACCAATCAGTTTGCCTAAGAACACAAAACATTCAGATGTTTTGCCCGTGGTTGGGAGCAGGTGTACATTTTTCTCGTACCAACTAACATTTTGAAAATACGAACACTTTCATGATTCTGAAAATGTACGTCAACATAGCTGAAAGATTTGCACAAAAAAAGGTAGCACTTATTGCAGTCCTGTTCCCCATGAAAATACTATGTAATTACTTTCTATCTGGGTAATAACTAGTACTAACCCTGAACCTATACCCCTAAACCCATGTAGTTACCCTATATTACCCAGTACTTTTTTAGGTACACTGTAAGTACACATACAGTAAAATAAAGTGCAACCGAAAAGTTAAGTCTGCTTGTGTTTTATGAATATGAGGCCCATGGTGTGATGATGGATAGACTTTTTTTCATTCCATCAAATAAATGAAAGAAGAGGAGAATAAGATTGTTGTCATATCTGTAAGCTTGTATTGGACTATTAAAATTCCTTTGTTATGTGAATCTTGAATTTCTTTAAATTCTTTCCTGTCATTCCAGTTCAACAACCTGTGTTGTGCGACTAACTCATATTCACACTGATGAACTGAAAGCGAGACGAGTTGTGTCCATCTCCGGTGGTCTGTGCTCTCAGGTGCTGTAAGCCGGGCAAAGTCTCGTTCTTTGGCATAAATGACAAATACCTGTCAAAACACAATTATA